GAGCTTTTCCAGCAACTTTGTTTTTGTTCCCACCTTACAAATCTTGTCTCTTAATTGGAAAATCTGATACTTAACCACTACAATGCATGGCAGAATTCTTGTCTCTAAAGGGAGAACTTGCAACGATTCCAGCAAAGGGGTTACTACTGGAGTGACAAAAAAGATAAGCAGAAAATGGGAATTATCCTGAAGACTGTATTAATGCTTACATTAAAGGTAATGTAAAGGGTTAATTTTGAATATGTGTTATGCTAATGAGACAGCATACATCATCACAGGAAGTAATAGTGTCTCCTGATTATTTTTGTAGACTTGTAGCAAGATGCTTCTTAAATTAAGTAAATGTTTTACTTCAGTAGATTCTTAAATATTCTTTAGCAGCATGAGACCAAGGGTATTACACTACAGGTCCCAGCTGTCATCCTTACTGGAGCAGAATTGAATTGAAGTACTGCCACGCACTCAAATCGTAGAATCCTTACCGTGTGGAAGCAGGCTGTTTGGCCCATCAAGCCCACACTGACCTTCTGAAGAGCATCCCGCCCAGACCCACCATCCCACACCCTATCCCTGTAATCCTGCATTTCCCATTGATAATCCACCTAGCCCGCACATCCCTGGACAACATCATCCAATGATGCATAACATTTTGAATATAGCAGAATGCCCATTATGATTCACTATGTTCAAGTCCCACTTGTTTTCAAACATTTTTCTAACATTCTCATTTCTTCCCCAGCATTAAAGTTCTCCTCTCGCAAATTCCATTTTTGTGATTTTTCCTTTGTTCTTTATGGCTTGCTGAAAATTTGCTTCTCTCCGCACCCTAACGATGATACAGGATCTATCGAAAATCCTAAAACTTAAAAACTGAGCTCTCCAAATTTACTGATAAATTCATAGATTGTAAACTTTAAAATCACTTCAGTTTTTTTGTCAGTTTTTTTTGAAGGTGCTTTGTTTTTGTTTTCAAACCTACATGATGCTGTTCATAAGATCAACTAGACTGTGATCGACAGTGTCTATTGTGAACTGAAATTGGAAAACATTGTTCTATTTGTGGTATTTTTCCTAAATCAGAAGATAGTTCTATTTTAAGATGCTGTAGTCTGCACTACATGTAATAGATTTGTATTAAATTTCTATCTGCATTGAAAGAAAAGGAGAAAGAAGTAATAAACTTTCACAGTAGATTCATTAGTTAACAAACACATTCATATATAAGGCAATGATTTCCTGGAAGTTAATGAGATGGCAACTAGAGTTTAATATTTTAAGATGTAAACAAAAGTGTCTCTTTCTTTGTGATGCCATGATTTCCCACAATGCTTTTCAGCAAATGCAGACCTCCCAAAGTGTAATGACTGTTTTATATATATGATGCTTTATCGCATTTAACTAATTTCTTTCATATTTTCTCTTACTTAGGATGACAAGAGGGTGAGTAATATATTTGTGTGCGGTAGGAGAACAAAGTCCTAGCAATTCTTCAATACAGATTTTACTGCTTGACCAAAATGTGATTTGTACTAAGATCTTTTTACTTAATTTTGATAAGTGCCCACCCGACAGAATGGAGCCCAAGACAGTCTGTGCGTGTCCACCAGGCCCACCAGGATTACATGGTATTCCTGGACAAAAAGTAAGTTCACAATTGAGTACCTATATCAGACAAGGGTAACTATTCAAAATGTTACACAAATTACTGATTTCAAATCTGGTGAAATTTGTGGTTTTGGCAATGTGTTTTACAATGCTCAGCTTGAAATTATTACAATCTGCTCAATAGTTAACACAAGTACTGTGCCACAGTGGCTGTATTAGCTCTGGATTTTATATCGAATGTAGATTGTTGATGCATGTGAAAAATTGCAATTTCATGGCTATTTCTGAGCCATGTGAAGATCATGATAGGAATCTGTGACTCAGTAGCTCAAATCTTCCTAAGCACTTATTCTGGGGTTCATTTGTATTGTCATAGAATCCCTACAGTGTGGAAACAGGCCCTTCAGCCCAACAAGTCCACACTGACCCTTGGAGCATCCCACCCAGACCCATCCCCCTATAACCCACCTAATCTACACATCCCTGAACACTGCAGACAATTTAGCATGGCCAATCCACCTAGCCTGCACATCTTTGGACTGTGGGAGGAAACCAGAGCACCCAGAGGAAACTCACGCAGACACAGGGAGAGAGTGTGTAAACTCCACAAAGACGGTCACCTGAGGGTGGAATTGAACCCAGGTCCCTAGCACTGTGAAGCAGCAGTGTTAACCACTGAGCCACAGTGCTGCCCCCATCTCTATAAAACAAATTTTGTGAATTTGAGTCCTCAGCAAAGAAGATGTTGTATTGTAATATAACCTTGCTTTTAGTTCGACATCCTGACTGGTATTTTTTGGGCTAAAAGTTCCATTCAACCTGCCCCCGTATTGATCCATTTCCCTGGGTTTTTTCTTGGTGTAGCATTCCTGGCAGAATTCATGCTGCTAAAAATAAGCAGGACCTTGTGAAGAGAAATATTCCAACAGCACTGCAATAGGCATATTGCTGGACTATGAACTGAGGCAGCAAGGGCCCTTAGCAGGGCAGAGATAGTACGAAAACTATATTGAGTAATTCCTTTTACCCTTAAGAAGGCCACACCTGAGCCATTGGGCTTCAGTAGTGTTGTGGGAAAATCACCACAAGTTACCTCCAATTTGCTACTTATTTAGAAATCTCATAGCTAATCAAGTACTGAAACAATGAGTTAAACTTTATTGCATGTAGTAACCAAAATAAGGCCCCTCAAGTAAGCAACTTAAGCCTCACAACCCAACTTGACGATTGTCTAATTAATGGTGGAATCTGGCTAGGATTTCAACCAATGGTGGTTTGTCTCTGGAAGTGCCCAGGGTTTGATCTTTGTCAGTGTTGTTCATTGAAATTCTGCTAAAGGGGAGTTCTGGTGTTTACTTCTTTAAAAAAATTTTTGTCTTTCAGGTCTATGAGATGATATATTGATGATTTCTTGAAGTCCCTTCATCCAAAGTATTGCAAGTCTGCAGCTTGCCTTCTTGTCAGAAATAGCTTCTTTTTTCCCTAGTTACAATGGTCTTAACTGTCTGTTCGAAAACACAGCTTTCCTGTAGTTAACTCCTTAAATTCTTCTGCAGGGCAATCAGTTGTCCTTGTGGCAATAAAGCATTGAGTTTATCAAGCCGGTGTGAAGGCAGTTTTGTCTATGTAATCTCGACTCTCTCCTTTACAAGACGTGGCTAATTGCTTTCAATTCCTGTAAAAGTCTGTTCTTGTCTTTAATAGTTTATTCCGGACAGAGCCATTGCTGCTTCTTTCAAGTGTAACAGTTGTTGATTCATTCAATCCAGGAACAGTTATAAAAGCTTTGAAGTCTATAATATCTCAGTAATTAAGCACAGAGCCTGAATTAGAAGGTGTACTCTTCATTCACCAGGGGAACTGGGTACATTTACTGCTACTGCCTTGAACACGGTGCTACCTTTCACACGCAGGGCAGTTGGAAGGAAGTTGCCATTAAACTGCATTTAGAGAGAGAGTTTTTGGTTGTCTGTCCCAGAAGCCTGAGGTTAACAAGGAGTTAAATATGTTATGCTGCCTAGCTGATGGTGGTAATTGACAAATCAACTCATAGAGTGAAACTTTATTTGATAGATAATGTTTAAGTTTGCAGTTGATTAATCACTGAACATAATCATACAAGACTGCCGATGTTCCTTAACACCAAAGCAAATGTCTGTCACACAAAAGTCAAGAAAAATAAAGCCATATATAAATGACAGCTTAGAAAGTTGTTAACGTAAATGCAAAACAATTTTCTACTTGTTTCCTAGAAATGTCCATCACAGATGCTCAAATGCTACAGAAATACCACTCTTTTCTCAACTCTTTAATTTCTTACTAGACTGACTCCAGTTTTCCTTCTGGGACTGAAAGAACTTTACCACTTCTTCCCAGTTTTTCTGCCCTAAATCTCTCTTCAGTTCTGACAACTTGAACATTTCTGCACAACCTGTCACAGCTCAGCAACTTCACAAACTAAAACCCTTCTGCTAAGATGAAAACTCTCTTCTGAACTGAAGTCAAAAACTACATTAATGGCCCCGCCCTGTTTCCTTAGTCTGTAACAAGCATTCTATCAGTTAGCACCGCAAGTGTCCTACTAGACACATGTCTAAATGTCATGCTTTGTTGTGAATTATTTATTTACGTCTTTATCCCAAATGACTTTCTGAACTTTTTGAAAAGGTTTCACAAAACTGAAACCAAATCCATCTGCCTCTATTTAAAACAAAATTTAATACCAAAAATGATGTCTTACACTTTTCATCTTTCAAACAAGTGTGTGGGAAAACTACTTCAATTCCACATCAATGAGTTTGATGGAAATATAATGGAAATGGAATGGATTCAACTTTAATCCTTTGTGCCACAATCCTGTCTATGTTAAGTAGCAAGATATACAGCAAAATGTATTGGAGGCCACTAATTATTGTGTTTTATATTTAACCAGGGGTCTAAGGGAGATTCTGGTAAACCAGGAAAATCAGGAACGAATGGTCTACCTGTGAGTACTATTTCATTTTCTACATATCTCTACATTGCTATAAAAAGTGACCATACTCATGCGGTGAATTTTTAGCTAAGATTATAGGTTTGTCGGCATTGGGTGAGGAACCATGTAAAACCCAGCAGATGGTCATCAAGCCACCTACACGATCCCTTCCAACCTGACTAAAATTTTACAGGGCATCGTGAAGACTGTACCTGGGGCCGAGTGTTATCCTTAAGTGGCTAGTTAATGTCCACAGAAGGTCATCATCTCATCCCCATTGCCATTCTATCCGGGATGAGGGAGGGAGGCCCACATTGTGCAGGAAGCCTGGTAGCTTTGGTTCTGGAAAAATGACAAACACCTGCTTTTTCAGTCTCCTGGGCCCATCGGAGACTCCACACCCAAAGTCATTCACCTACCTCTTTAACGGTCTCCCTGGTCTCTTAAAACCAACCCCAATTTCAATACTCAATGTAGAGTAAAATGTTCCATGAAATACATTAATTTTGCTGAGAAAAGAGATCTGCTGTCAAAACTTTTCATCTTGCACTTATCAGGGCTGAAAGTGTGTCAAAAGTTTAGAGGGAGTGAAGATTTATACTGCATGAGTAAAGACAGCATACTGGTTATCAAGCTGACTGATTGGTTAAACAACTGCCATAGAAAATACACCAGGGAACTATCTTACCCCATGACCTTGTCGAAGCCTGGATTGTACCTTTTCTTCTGCAGAGGAAAAGTTCCTGACAACAAATATATATGTAGCTTCTAGCAGGCATAAATAAACCACATTGCAAACCAAATGATAATCTTAAATTGGTTATTGGTGGCATTTATGGCACACTTGGGATTGATCATAGAGTCACAGAAAAAGACCCATCAGGTCTGCACAGGTAGAAACAACCACTTGACTATTCTAATCCCATTTTCCAGCATGTGGCCCATAGCTTTGTATTCCTTGGCATCACAAGTATACATTTAAATATTTCTCAAATGTTATGACGGTTTCTGCCTCTACCGCCCTGACAGGCAGTGAGTTCCAGATTCCCACCATCCTCTGGGTGACAGAATACTTCCTGATATCCCCTCTAGGTTTCCAGCCTTTACCATAATTCTGTGAACCCTGGTCATTGAACCGTTCATCAACTGGAAAAGTTTCTTATGCATCTCATAATTTTATACATCTCAATCATGTCCCCCCTCAGCCTCTTCTGCTCCAAGGAAAACAACACCAGACTATCCAATTTCTCTTAAAAACAAAAACCCTCCAGCCCAGTCAACCTCCAGATAAGTCTCCACTGCACCCTCTTCAGTCCTACCAATTTCAGCTATAATGTAGATTCCAGAACTGCATACATTACTCTGGCTGTGACTTAATCATTTTTTATACAGTTCCAGCATAACCTTCCTGCTCTAAACTCCATGCCTCAGCTCAGCCAATAAAGGCAAGTATTCCATAAGCCTTGTTAACCAGTTTATCTACTTGCCTTGCTAGCCTAACATACAGGTGGACATGCACATCAAGGTCCCCCTGATCCTTGATGCTTCCCAGGTTCCTACCATTCAGCATGTATTCCCTTGCCTGTTTGTGCTACCTAAGTACATCATCTCATATTTATCTAGATTGAATTCCAGTTGCCACTGATCAGCCCATCTGACCAGCCCATCTATATCCTCCTGTAATTTAAAGCGATACTCCTTTCTATTTACCACCCTACCAATTTTTGTATCATCTGTGAACTGATTGATCAACCCTCCTTCATTCAAGTCTAAATCACTTATATATACCACAAACAGCAAAGGCCCCAACAATGATCCCTGCAGAACCCCGCTCGACAGAGGCTTCCAGTCATAAAAACATCCCTCAACTATCACCCTTTGATTCATGCCACTCAGCCAATTCTGGATCCAATTAGCCAAATTTCCTTGGATCCCATGGTCTCTTAACTTTGCTATCAGTCTCCAAGACAGCACCTTATCTAAAGCCTTGCTGAACTTCAAATAAACTACACTGAATCTCCCATCTCCCTTGCCTGGTCACCTCTTTGAAAGACACAATTAAGTTGGTCAGACATGACCTCCCATTAACAAAACCATGCTGACTGTTTTTGATTAATCCCTGCCTCTCCAAATGAAGATTAATTCCATCCTTCAGAATTACTGCCATTAGTTTCCCCACCACTGAGGTTAAACGGAAACAAAAACAGAAATTGCTAGAGAAACTAATTAGTCTGGCAGCATCTGTGGAGAGAAAGCAGAATTAACATTTCAAATCCTACTTCAGAACTCCTATTCTTCTGTCCTTCTATTCTGAAAAAGGGTAATTGAACTTGAAATGTTAACTCTATTTTCTCTCCAGAAATGTTACCAGACCTGTTGGGTTTCACCAGCAATTTCTGGTTTTGTTTCACATTTCCAAAATCTACTGTTCTTTGTTCACCTGAGGTTATACTGACTGGTTTGAAGTTTCCTGGTTTATCCCTTTTTAGCCTCTTGAATAACAGTACCACATTGGCTGTCCTCCAGTCCTCTGGCACCTCTGTTGTAGCCAAAGAGAACTTGAAAATATTTGCCAGGGTCCAAAAATGAAATTGTATGTTCAACATTATCTTCAGAATTTTGCAAATGCAGGTTGGTTGAGTATGGAGTGCCTGCTATGAACAGCCAAAGAGACATACTGTTTGATATGATCTATCAGTGGTTGGAACATATGGCCTAAGTACCTGAGGTTGTGCCAGATCTGAAATCCATTCACCCTATAACTGATTTATATGATTGGCAGAATGGCTTTGTAGATTGGCAACAGCATCCTGTCAGTGGAAAATTTCACTTGTTCCTGCTGTATAAATAATTATTAAAGCCTGTGGTTTTTGAACATGTGTAATGATGGCAGGAGAAGTCTGTGGTGCTACATGTTGATAAGTGGGTTCAATGTGGAAATTGTATTAATTAAGGGCTGAGACAATGGATAGGAAGGATTGTCTTTCACTAGCATACAATGTTAGCTGTTTATTTGAGCACAAACATTTGAGTCAATTTGGTTCTAATCTGACTGCAAGTCAGAATTCATTTAAATGCATGTTGCGTGGGAGAGGAATAAAAATAGTGCACTCAAACTGAAATTACTGATCTTTAATAGACCATGTCATCTTAGAATTCCCAAATGATGGACCAGAACTTGGTATATACCAGCTCCAGGCAATTCCGTAGTTGCCCTGGTTCGCTCCGACTTTGGTTATGAGTAGGAATGTGAGGGAAGTGGTATACATTTTTGGCTGCATATCACCACAATGAAAATAAAAATGTGAGACAATGTAAGGGATGATAAGAAAAGAAAGTTAACCTGTTATTACTCATGCAACATGGTGTAGGTGATGACCCAGTGGTATTATCGCTAGACTATAAATCCAGAAACCCAGCTGATGGTCTGGGGACCTGGGTTCAAATCCCACCACGGCAGATGGTAGAATTTGAATTCAAAAAAGAGAAGTCTGGAATTAAGAATCTATCGATCACCGTGAAATCATTGCTGATTGACGGAAAAACCCATCTGGTTCACTGCTGTCCTTCAGGGAAGGAAATCTGCCACCCTCACCTGGTCTGGCCTACATGTGACTCCAGACCCACAGCAGTGTGGTTGACTTTCAGTTGCCGTCTGAAATGGCCTAGCAAGCCACTCAGTTGTACCAATCGCTACAAAGTCTCAAAGAAATGAAACTGGACGGATCACCTGGCATCGATCTAGGCACCGGAAAAGACAACAGCGGAAACAGCCCTGTCAACCCTGCAAAGTCCTCCTCACTAACATCTGGGGGTTAGTGCCAGCATTGGGAGAATAGCTAAGCAACAGCCTGACATAGTCATACCCACAGAATCATACCTTACAGACAATGTCCCAGACACCACCATCAGCATCCCTGGATATGTCCTGTCTCACTGGCAGGACAGACCCAGCAGAGCGGGTGGCACAGTGGTATACTGTCGGGAGGGTGTTGCTCTAGGAGTCCTCAACATTGACTCCGGACCCCATGAAGTCTCATGGCTTCAGGTTAAACATGGGCAAGGAAACCTCCTGTTGATTACCACATACTGTCCTCCTTCAGCTGATGAATCAGTACTCCTCAATGTTGAGCAACACTTAAAGGAAGCACTAAGGATGGCAAGAGCACAAAATGCTGGGTGGGGGATTTCAATGTTCACCACCAAAAGTGGCTCGGCAGCAGTACTACTGATCGAGCTGGTCGGCTCTTAAAGGACATAGCTGCTAGACTGGGTCTGCAGCAGGTGGTGAGGGAACCAACAAGAGGGAAAAACATACTTGACCTCATCCTTACTAATCTGCCAGCTGCAGTTGCATCTGTCCATGACAGTATCGGTAAGAGTGACCACCGCACAGTCCTTGTGGAGACAAAGTCTCGCCTTCACCTTGAGAACAACCTCCATCGTGTTGTGTGGCACTATCACCGTGCTAAATGGGACAGACTTCGCACAGATCTAGCAACTCAAGACTGGGCATCCATGAGGCCCTGTGGGCCATCAACAGCGGCAGAATTGTAGTCCAGCACAATCTGTAACCTCATGGCCCGGCATATGCCCCACTCAACCATTACCATCAAGCCAGGGGATCAGCACTGGTTCAATGAAGAGTGCAGGAGGGCATGCCAGGAGCAAGTACCAGGCATACCTGAAGATGAGGTAACAACCTGGTGAAGCCACCAAACAGGACAACTTGCACACCAAATAGTGAAAGCAGCAAGTGATAGAGCTAAGCAATCCCACAACCAACGGATCAGATCTAAGCTCTGCAGTCCTGCCACATCCAGTTGTGAATGGTGGTGGACAATTAAACAACTCACTGGAGGAAGAGGCTCCACAAATATCCCCATCCTCAATGATGGAAGAGCCCAGCACATCAGTGCAAAAGATAAGGCTGAAGCATTCGCAGCAAACTTCAGCCAGAAGTGCCGAGAGGATGATCCATCTCAGCCTCCTCCAGTGGTCCCAGCATTACA